TTATGCGCCAGTCAATACGCATCTAAATCTCGATGATGTTATTGTCATATCTGGCTCGATGGCTTCGTGCATAACCGGTTCACCCCCCTCCCCCCCACCCCCCCCCGATTAGCGCTTCACCGCGACGCCTCAGCATTGCGCCGAGCAAGAGACTCCAGATCTATAGGTTGTCGGCGTTCAACCATCTCCATCGTATCGAGGCGTTGGACACATGATCACCGGAAGGCCACTGCTATTGACCAAACAACGCCTGCAACCCAGCCCGACCTTCCTGGAGCTCTTTCACACGGGGATCATGGCCAAGCAACGATGTCCCGATTTCATGAGCCCGGTTCGAATTTGGAGAATGTCCTTGGGTATTTGCAGATATCAATGTACGGTAGTAGTCCTCTAGGATAACATGGCCCCTATCCCGTTTGAGACTCAACGAAGACGGCAAACCGAGCAGACGTTTGACTCCTTCGGGTACGGAGCATGTTGTTACTGTTTACCTGTTATGAATACAGAGGTTCCCTATTACAGTACATAACTGGCCATGAAAGCGTGATTTTTCTGAGCATAACCCAGGCAATTACCTGGAGCGACTAGAGAAATTACTCGTGAAAGAGCGCCGGCAGCACCATGACCAGGCACATAGCGCAGCCTTGATTAGCGGGAGTGTCAGCAGATGTCATGTCTACCCGGTCTATCCATTACAAATCCCCTAGTATACATAGTCGAGGTAGAAGAGTTGACGATTCATGGCCGTTCCGATTCCTCCGCGAGAGTAAAGTAGTCACGTAGGGTACTGTAGAGTTGTAGTACTGAACAGGTAGCAGGATAATGACTGTCCGAACCTTTCCGTAATCGAAGAGGGGACGCCACATAGTAGACCACAACACACAACAGCGTCGCTCTCCAAAGCCCAAGTCTCCTTCCCTCTCATGCCCACGCCCCGCCGCCATCCAAACGTTCACGGCCGCACAAGCGTAGTTTGCGACTAAACGCAACGCTCGTCAGCAGGACCACTCTTGTATTCGAGAAGACCAGCCTGCTCTAATCCCCTAGAGCAGCCCGCCGGATTTGTCTTGGTGAACTCGTTGGGTGAGGGGGCGTGTGACCGCCGTTCGATTCTCCGTGTTCTTATCTCTTTGGTGTGCTGAATGCGGCAGTGAGTCCGGTAGCTCAGACTAGTGGTTGCCCTCGGACGTTGTCGATCGCGATAAGCCGCTTTCTTGTAGAGCAGCTTGAAGCCGCAGAGATAGCCATCGCGAACGACAGAAGCACCTCGGCCTCTTCATACCGGCAGACAGGCTTCTCAAGAGTGTAGTAGCGATGCAGTAGCGGCACAGTGGCAACGGGACTGCGTCGATAAAAACCAGCGTCAAAACGTGCCATCCACCTCCGCATAGTTATATAAAGTTAGGCTGGATTGATGCCCTCAGCAAAGGGTCGCCGGCGTCGCGTAGCGGCGAGCAACTACAGTGAAGGTTAGACTTTCCTCTGTCAGACAGAGTGCAATATGGGAAGGTAGTCGAGAATATGCGGTAGACGCATTTCTTGCGTTTCATCGATCTTTAACCAGGGGAAAGGTCATGAAATCCCACCTAGATACCCGGGAATATGCACCGACCGACGATACTGCGCATTTTGCCCTTTGCTGGCCTTTGATGGCCCTCGGATTGGTCTCAAGCGTTCTCCTTACCTGGCCGGCGTATCTTTAGAAAATCCAAACGCCTTAGTTGACCGGTGAACATCCACGTCCTCATATTCTCGTAGGGCAGTATTGTATGAGTAAAATGAGAATTTCTTCTCTCTGCTGCAAAGATGCACTGTATTTCCTATATAAGCATTGTGGAACGCGTGTCGTGTCTGAGCCCCGTCCCACTATCCGTTCGGACTACCTCCGTCAGACATAAGCATCTGCGCTATGGAAGCAACGGCCTCCTACCTGGAACGTCCCCCCAAACGCAAGCGTGAATCGTCCCGCAGTCAATCTGGTCCTGCTGAGGAAAGCAGAGGCGCAAAACCCATGGAGCCACCTAACCAAGATTCTACAGAGGTATGTGAAGAAGCAAGCTCTGCACGAGCCCAAGAACGCCATACTCATCATACCTCCTACAGCTGGAGCCTCCCGCCAATGATGAGAAGGTGGCATCGGCCGCGGAGTCCTTCAGACCCTTGGCTCGTGAGCTGGAGCGCCTGGACAAGAAGGACCCTATTCTGGCTGCCCATGCGGCACGTTTTGTAGCCCTCTACCGGCGCTTGTGGGAGTCCTACGTCGCCAAGAACGCCGACAGTCAGCGCCTCGACAAAGAAAACCAGCAGCTCAAGAACGCCAATGCCAGCCTCTCGAAAGAGAAACGACAGGCAGAGCGCCATTCCTTGGAATATGACGTCCTCCTGTCCTACTACAAGGAAGCATACCAGAAGATCGAAGAAGGCATCATCGGGGTCCTGGAGGATTGGAAGGAACCCCTGGTCAACTCCGTTGGCAAGCAGAAGCAAGATGGATCAGAGTAGAACCGTATCGGTGGACAGCTGTGTGAGTGAGGGTTGGCACTGAGTGGATGTTCGGCGTTCCAGGTGGTGCCGGATCTACAGCGTGCGGCATAAGGCTCTGTGCGCGTACTCGTTGATTCAGATATTTCATTTGTCTATAAAGCCATCCACGGGTGTCTGACTGTTGATTTTACTATCTCGTGCTCCTTCGGAACATTTCGGAACATTGGAATGTCTCGCGCCATGTATCTCCATCTGATGACTGTGTTACTAGGTGTCTGCATACGCGGATGCGTAGCGCCTCAATCCATGTCATCCAGCCCGACCACCTTCTCTACTGTAATTCGGAGACAATTATATGGTAATTGTCGGAATGCCGCGTATGCTTTGCTCTCCCCGTGGACAGAGTTGGGAGGTCCCTGGCGGCGTCCACCCCGGAGTAGCGGCGCGCTCCCCACCCATGNTAGTCATCATGAATCATGTGCTGTATGCCCAGGATGTCGTGCATGCGCTATCAGTCTGATAACAGTCGCGGAGATAGACACGGAATCCTCCAAGTTTGGGTGGTGGGTGGTGGGTGGTGGGTGGTTGGCGGCAGGTTAGAATGTATCTAGTCTCCGTGCACAGTACATTCGGGAGCATTGGGGTCTTCACATATGCCGTTATCGAGTGAACAATCAATCAAATGACTATCGCTCATTTTTTTTCTTCTCCCTTCCTCTCTCTCTCTTTTTTCAGGCCAACGCGTCGGGCTCTAGCGAGAAGTGATGAAGGAGGCAGGACGACGCCTGCTTAATTTCCCAGAGACTGGCTCTCGACAAACGATCCGTGCCCTTATCTAATCCCTTTACGATGCCCTCTCGTTCCTTGCAACATTTAGACGAAACTCCACACTCCCCAGCGTTGCCCCGAGCTATCCTAATGTAGCCCCAGGCAACAACGTTGCGTTCGTCCTCAGGAACCACTGGACACTGAGAATATCGAGGAAACAAGGGAGTTCTCAACACTGGCGGACTCTCCCCAAAAAGTTTCATGGTGAGGGACCTGACCATATGCTCTGGATACATCTAATTGGGAATAAGGAATCGGTCCTGGCTATACCAGACCTATCGCAGTTCCATCATATTGACAGCTGGACCTAATCACGTAGGGATAAAGGATCATTTCGACCAGGCATTAAGGCCCTGGCCTCACCCCCTATCCCGCGCTCAATATCACAGATCAATAGGGGTCTGATGCTCTCACGGGCAGTCTGCGTCCAACAATTAGACCATGTTATCGAGCTGGGAGAACGAATAGAATGGGCTGCCGGGCAGCCTTGATACTATGCATGTGGCCTAGTCATCTATGTGGTTCGGACTATCGTACAACCCAGATAATGCCAACATTAAGGTACATAGTAGTCAGGTCGCCTTGTCCGCCTATTGGACCGGCGGCGGTTTTGCACCAAAGCGCCTTCCGAGATGATCTCCCCTCGAGCGGTGCGGCCACCGCCAGCGCTTTCGGCCCCGTCCTCTGCCTCACCTGTCGTCTCGGCGGCAGAGTAGGAAGCATCGAACCGTGTGGCGCCGCGGCTGTAAATGCGTTAGTACGGCCAATGGTGGCCACACAAGAGGACGATAGTAACAGCCGGAGAGACTTACCATTGTGGACAGCTAAAGTTGATCCGTGTCGACCGTCCTTCGAGCCAAACCCCCATACAGCCCAAGTGCACGCTCCCTCTGCACCGCTCACACCGCAAATTGGCAATGTCGTCTGCTGCATGGTCATGACAGATCAGGCACACTATGCTGCCGTCATTATCGTCCTGCCTGAGTGAGCGAAGGATCACCGGCGTGCTGGTGTTGTCTGCATTGGCGGTCCCGAACTGGATCCGAGCGGGGGAAGATGGCGACACCTCGAATGGAACCGACCTTTGCCGCAGCTGCTCGATGTGGATGGACTGAAGCTCGGCCGCGCCAGGTACAACCTCCATGGGGGTCAATGATGTCGAACTCACATCCACCAGGTCCAGTTCTGGGTACAGCGGATAGTCAACCTGTCGGCTCTCCGTGGGAGAATCCTGCGCATGCTGACCGACGGCACGCGAAGCGCGAGCGCTCTCGTACCAGCGNCCCGGAGAACCCAAACATGCCGTAGACCGCACGAACGAGGCGTCGTTGGGATTGAGAGTCGCGGACAGTCTGTTGGGCCAAGCACAGGTAACCCGCCGCGACGCCTATATAATCCACTGCGGAGAGAATCGGCAGGGCATAACGAGCGGGATCATAGACTAGGTAACTGACGAGGATCATCGCGACTTTGGCGGTATGAAGAACGCACAGCAATGCATAAAATATCTTCATCCCGGCTGCACACAGTGGTATGTTGGACAGGATGAACTGTAGTCGAAGAAACTAAAAGTCGATGAGCTCTTGTCCATCGTGTGCCCGACCTGCCCTCGTGCATGGACACCCACTCCCAAAACCGATGGGAAGAAGCCCGTAATAGATGTCATGATTTCTGCGCCTGTCACAGGATCGTCAGTGGGAACTCCTGTGGCTTTGACCGATGGGACCTCAACTGAGCGGATGGGAACGGCTCCAACGGAGCGCGACCACTGCAACGAGGAAGGCCACAAGGACCATCGAGGAGGTAATATCTACGCATCGATAGAGCGGGTGCTGTCGAAACGTTTGGATTGACAGCAGGGCACGGGTAGTTGCCAAAGACAGGAGTGTCGACGCCAAGATGGCGTGGACGATGTTTGGAACAACCATAGGCGGCGGCCTATGTGACAAATCTGTCTATTGACCGTATCCAATCTATAATACCTCTGGCTGCACTTCTCTGGACCAGGGCCTCCTTATATCCGCCACTCATCCCGGCCGGCCCCGTCCCCGACTGGCCAACGTTATGATACTGGACCCATGAATTTGGTCACAGTTGACCTAGGTACCATACTGGAATACAAAGCTGACGCGCCAGCTGGAACATGCCAGAAGTCGACAACAAGCGTTGGATCGAGCGGGTCAACGAAGCAGTGGGAGTACACGGCACTGTCTCGCGAGATAGAAGGGCTCTTGGCTCTGGTCACGCCCAGTCGATCCCTGCGGCAGTCAAAGAAAAGAAGACGCCTGAAGCCATAGTTCCCCGTTGGTGTTCGCTCCAAGGAACCAGCGGATTAATGCGTCCTTCGCAGGATACAAGGGATTTTTGCGGAGCCTGTCCTCTCTTTCGTGGTGGAATATGCTTCTTAGAAATGGTGTAGCCTGAATATGGTCAATTTCATTGAGATGATGAAGGGATTGATGCCCAGCCCGTGATACTGTAGAGTAAGATGAGTAGATCGCCGCTGCGGGTAATACTGACCCTGGACAACGCCGCCCGACACATTGTAAAGACAAAGTTCAGAGTATGGTAAACTGAGTGCACTGTAGCGTAGCAGGAGCGACAGCGTCTTTCGATAATTCAGGTGAGTTGTTTCGTTCTGGACCGTCGCACCCGCGTGCTGGGTAAGAGGCCCTCAGTTTCTTGCCTGTCACTAACCCGGCACCCAGCCATCATGTTGTAGGTCGGAATCCGAAGATAGAGTCAGACGGCCTAAATCGCCCATATTACTATCCACCGTGTTTATCTATCCCACATCCTGCTGGAAGCACCTAGATGAGGGTCCAGACGACACCCGACGGGATACAAATATTCCTCCGCTCCCCAGACTGTCGACCCTGACCTGCAGGATGCCTCCAACGACATCTCCCTGGTACGACCGAATCTCCCACATATCGCAGACTGATTGGTATGGAATATGCGCCGCAATCGCTGTGGCCAGTTGGCTCGTATTGCGTCTGACGTCCCGTGGTGGCCGGTGGGCGATCCGATGGCACGTGATGCAGACACGGTGACTCCTTGGCTATCCCCTGTTTGTGCTCGACAGTCAATCTGCAACCAGGTCACGGCGATCGTTCAGCCCAACTCGAGCGATGACCTCCGGCTCCTGGATCTTGACGTTGAGCCGTGTCGTCAGTGGTCAAGCACTGACACAACGGTAGCCGACACTACCGGACCAACCAGAAACCACGTCCAATGGATCGCCTCCAGAAAGCGGAAGCCCGTGGTCATTCCCGATGACCGATCCACCAATGGCCCCTTGTTTGACGAGCAGCCGGGCCAGTTCGATTCCTTTCCCAGATTTCCCTTACATGTCCTGATCCTACGGACGTTCTAATGCTAGCATAATCGACGTCGATTCTCGCGCCACAACAGTCACTTCAGGTCCAACGCATGCCCCCAGCCCGGTAATTCCGCAGTCGAACGGTCCATAGTACCACCGTCCAGTACTCCGCTCCTTCAACATCTTCGTGTTTGCGCAGCCCGTCCGACGGCGAGAACAGACTCCTATCGCGGGATACGCTGCTGGATCGCGGAGTGTCGGCAATGGTAGGTCCGCGAACGCGTTCCACCGCAACGTTGGCATCGTAACCGGCAAGACGGTGCAGCCGACGAGACTGGTGCACTAGCGCCTCCGCGGGACCGAGATTGGGCCAAGCCGACCCTGGAATCAGGGACCCGTGGCACGGATGTGACGCGTCGGTGGTTGATAGGGCCCTCTTGGTCCGGGACGCTGGACACGTCAGGCTGGTTGTCAGCGAGTGCTCTGGACTCTGTTCCAGAAAGCGGGCATACCTCGCGGCCAGGCGAGCGTGCACGCCAAGCTTGCACAAGACCCATAACCAAATCCCGTCACGCCAATTCATGTTGCGATTGCGGTGCGAGAGTGGAGGCAGCAGACAGTCTAGACCGTCGACTGGGGGTCATTTTATGTGGGACGATCAAGATCGTGGTTACCCATGTCTGAGTGCAAACGGTCATCCTCGTTCGGGCAAATGCTCCGCGCGGACACCTACTCGGTGTCCCAACCCGTTGTGCCGGCGTGTGGCACGCAGCACCCGAGTACCAGAGTTCAGCGCATTCCCAGTGATCTCCAGCGGATGTCGAGATGGCTGCCACAAATTCTGCAGTAATGCGACCGGAAATCGTGTCGGATGTTTCTCAAAGGCCCTGTGAAGCACCGGTAACCCGAAATGAACCCTAAGCCATCCGGTCGCCAGCCCCACGGTTGACCGTTTCTCGTGTAGCTGCGGGCGTCAGTCACTGATCCAGGAAGCGATCACAGCCGGGGTGGTGGAAAACAGCTAACCCGGGCAATATTGAATGGTGTTTGAAGTTGGAGGAGCTCTGGTCAGACGCGGTCCACTGCCGCTAGGCGCCTTCCTGGCCATCCGGCGGTCTGAGTCCTTGGAACAGCATCCTTTACTCACCGGCTTTGCTCTGGCTCGTTTGAGGACACGCATCAGTTCAATCTGCGGACGAGGCGGGCGAAAGGAGACGGGTTTCTGGGGAAATTGAAGGGAATATACACATGATAGACGATGTCATCTTGAGGGTTCCGAACGTTGAACGAAAATATGCGATGACATGCCTGGTCAGTGACGCGCGGGATCGCCCGTCGGAACGCCCCAGGGTAGAAGTGAATATTTGTGGAGGACGCGCGCGCCAGTCACATGAAAGGCCATCTTACATAATGATCATCTTGCTTGGCAGGAGCACGAACCACATAACCGATCAGGTGAGACGACGGAAGGGATAGCAACAAGCATCACAGAACGTATGCAACCGCCCGTCGGTCTGCTCCCTGGGCTGTTGTCCCGTGCATATGGGGACTCCCCGGATAAGCCGTGCAGGATTGTGGAATCAAAGCTTCGGATACGTCGCTGATGGGAGATTGAGTCTGACCAGCCTTGTTCAGCCTATCGCCCGCGAGACTTTACATTCGGAGCACAAGATGCGCATTCAGATGACGACTATTTCCGTCCCTCATCTTCCCCTGCGAAGAACTACTAAATACACCCACCTGCATGCCATGCCCGATTGACCGGCCAAGCGAAGTCATCCGGAGGAACGTGAATGTACAGAGATCGATGAAGAGGACCTACTTAGCCGAGCAGCGCATGGGAGCCCTGTTTTGGAGGACGCGGCTCCTGTGAGTCATTCCACCTTAAGGGCACCACGGGATACAGCTATATCAAGACTAACGGACGAGGGAGCAGATGCGGTGGTGGACGTGGATATGGACTCATCGGCGCAGAACCAATCAGTGCAAGATCGCCCTGGGACGCCAACTATATTATCCCGCCAGTCAAGAATTATGACGCCCACCTCGTAAAGAAAGAGTAGGGATGCAATATGGAGACCGTATGATGCTGCACAGAAAGGCAACCGCAAAGCGACCAAAAGATCACTTGCTGCTCAAGGCCAGTTGACCGCGCAGGGCGGCATGACCAACTTGGACTCAAGCATTGAGCATCGGCCCGGACTGAGGCCGTTGCAACCAATCGCAGAGCACACGGAGCAGGAAATCACTCGGCCACTCAACGAGCTGGAATGCCCCCAAGAGGTTTCTGGACGACCATTACCAGCTGAGGCTCAGGAAGGAATAGCAGGAGAGAAAATGGCGGATGGAACAGAGCTCATCACGGAAGCGGGTGAAGAACTCGTCCAAGGAGATCGAGTAGCTCGGGAGCGCGCAGATACTCTTACTCAGTTACAAACACCTGGAATCATGGAGTATCATGCACCCCCGGCCTGAGCTCCCCGCTGACTTGCCGAGTCTGATTACAAGATTATGGGAAGAGGGAAGCCAGCTGGGTGATGAAAGTATAATTCCCGACGAAAATAAACCGCAGGAGCTTCCTGAATTGGAGCCGGCCACTGTTGATCATCTGGACAGTGTTGGGGGCGGGACCGCGGCGGGTGTTGTTAAACCGGGGCTTTCTCAACAAGAGACCGAACAACACAGAGCGGATCTACCCGATCCAGAACAGGCTCAGCGGCAGGCAATTGAAAGGCAAGGGGGCGAGGATCTCCTATTTGATGTTTCTGTGCTGGAAGAGCCAACAGACTAGGCAGTGGAAGGCGCAAATTATCGCCGACCGATATGCACGAGATCCCAGCCAATATGCGCGCTTTTACGATGGCCGACTACGCAAAGTTGCCGTTGATGAGTGCGTTTGCGCAGCGATTGACGACGGTAGTTTCACACTCCTTATGAGTTTCAGAAAGGATCTGATTGTGACTCGGCATCTTGTCGCTTCTGTCGCAGAAATATTTAAGTCTGCCCCGGGAATGAATGGCACGATCCATATCACCCTGAAAAACAGCTAAAATCGAACGCCGGAGCCCCGTCGGCTGGTCCCGTTCAAACGCGAAAGGATGCAATTTCAGGAAAGACAGAGCGACGTGGAAGAAAAATACCGGCGCGAATAGCCACCCGATCGCCGCAGGATGTGCGGCCCAGTCGGGCACGCTCAGAGGCGGATTCTCAACCTGCTACTATTGTGTTTTGCGCCCGAGAAAAGAATGGACATTGGAAGACGGTGCACGAAGTCCTTGTTGAACGGTCCGACCCATCGCAGGTGGAACGAGTGGCAAGGAAAGAGGCGAGAAACCGTCAGACCACGTTCTATGATAAGAGCCTGCGAAAACTTACTCCGGCCCAGTGTTTTGAGGCGGCAATTGAGGATTACAGAAATAAAATCTTTATGAATTTCCGGGGAGAGCTCGCGGTGGACGAAGACACAATAGAGTCGATCACACAGAAGTGGAATTGTGACGCGAAGGAACTGGAAGACTCAGTAACATTGTGGTGGTCGGCAGGCCAGACGGGCCGCAACCATGTAGGCAGACGACTGTCTGGGTCTTGCACCTGCCGTAGACACCAGTTGGTGGTCCTCCGTCTATGGTGGTTGTACGACCGCAGTCTGACGACCGGCCTGGTCGGGTGCGCAGGGTCTGGCGTTTCTGGTACTCCGTCAATAGCCCTACGCACCTGATCTTACTACCTAAGTCATCAGCGTCTGGACCTACCATCTTAGGCCTTTGCTCTGCTCCCTCTGACCTTTTAGGTGTTCAGACCACAAGCCTATGTCTGATTTGGGCTTACAACCCCGGTCAGATCTCCTCCACGGGCTTTAGTCCAGGTCGGTCGTGTGGCTTGCGGTGTAGGAGATACTCAACCATATAAATGAACCGCGGCTCCAGAACCACAAAGAGGCTAGAAGATCAGGGATATGTAAGGTGGTTGGAAAACAATTGGGAATACAGCGTGTAGGGAAAAATAAGACATGTTAGTTCAACCACAAACATGTCAAACAGCCAGATCTATGTCCAAGAACCACACTGTTGCCACTGTAACCGCACATGTCGCCCGATAGTCTGGTGGAGGCCAGATCAAACGCTTCCCGTTGCGAGATACCCATTTCTCATGGCTAAATATTATATATTCTCGTCTCGGTCGAAAATGGGCTGGAAGGTTGGTGGTTCAGTGAGAGCGAACCGCTGGAAACTCTCAAACAGTTTGGCTGTCTCCGAGTGCCAGGAGGAGCTCAACAACGCGATCTTCCCCCGTTTTCCCTAGTAGGTATTTCATGAATTTTGGCACATTCTTTGCGGCAATGCCCACCTTAGACGATCGTGTCTTCACCATGCTGATGTTCAGCACTCACTACTTTAGTAGTCGATGCTAGACCGAGAAATTTCAAGGAATATCCCAAGCGGACTTTTACTCCTGTCGACCTTTAGTGACCGCTAGTATTCTGCTTCAATGCCGAACTTACTGTTAGTCAGCGCCCGCTCGGTCATTCCTTGTATCGTTTTTATTTCCTATTTTAGTTAGTTAGATTACCCCTATTTCTCTTGTATTTAGTGCAGTATCGCTGCTAGATTCAATGAATCAGACCTTCACATTCCTCTGGCGGTGGACCAAATATTACGTACGCCACGAAGTCCGACAACTCCCTAACTCTTCTTCACGTGTGCTGCAAAATACCGCTTATGTAAGCGAATGGCGTTTAGCAGCCTGGGCATTCAAAGTTGAAGTTCGCATTCAAAGACTTATACCGCTGTGCTCGATAGCACTCGAAAGCTAGCTGGTTTATCTTACCAAGATCAACGCCGGAATCGCATGGCCCGGCTTCGAGGTGCAACCTTATCACGGAATTCGTGGGAAACCAACGCGAGCAGCCAGGACAGCTAATATTCCTTCAGGAAAGAAATCTTGTGCTATGAGGTATGTTTTGACTTTTCGTCACTAATTATGAATGATAAACGAGCGCCTTCAAATTTGGTTGCTCGAATAGCAGCCCTTAATAACACCAATGTCCCCATTGCGTCCGGCTACTTGCGATAATCCAAGTGAGTCCGGACATTGGCCCCATCAGTTGAAAATCAATGCATCAGAGGAAAAAATATGTGACAGAATAGGAGAACTCGTGAAGAGAACATAAGGCCGAGAAATATAGCAAAATAAGGGAGTCAGCATGTCAAAAAGCCAGCCCTAGATATGTATGGATCTAGACTATAATCAAAGTGCCCTGTTCGTTGGCTCTGAATAACTCTCATCTGCTGAGAGTCCTAGCAATGCCCTAAAGATATCTTGTTCTGAAGCGCCCGAGCGAATAATCGTAAGCAACCGATCCACGGCCTCCGGCTCATTATTCGAAATCACAGCAATGAGCCGTCTGAGGAATTCTTGGTAATAACCTGGGGTTTCGGTATTGATTTCCATGGCTTCATGACCGTTCGCATGGTTGTGGTTAATGTTTCCATTGTTGTCTTTGTTCATCTAGTAGCAAGCAAACAAGTGTTAACGGCAACCAAGATAATAAACCCCATATTCCTGGAGGAGAAGGCAGTCTTCGCCACTCAGCGAGTGAAGGTTCGAACTTGGGGATAAGATAAAGGGATATGGCGAGTAAGCTAACCTTGCCTCTGACGTTATTTGGGTCTTCTAATCCAGGTTTTTAAGGTGAGCAACCCTGTCGGTGATCGCGCCGTTTAATCTTGTCGATTGCTCAATCATACATATAGGAAAATCTGATTTATTGAATATCAATTTTAGCAGCTCTGATGCACTAGATACACGAGAAATAGAAGCTGAGCCGAATGTTCCGTTGCTTCGGAGCTGTTACCGTGCGGGGTCTCAGCGGTCTTGGCAATCCTTGACCGCCAGCTGATATAGCGGCAATTTCTCCAACCCGGATTCGGAGCCGGATTTATTTACACGCCGTTCTACATAGCTAATGATACTTGTGTGTATCTTATGCGGGAATAGGCCCCGCCACTACCACCACTGAAAGTTGGTCAGGATATCACTGCCAGAGCTCACCAGATGCTAAAACCCCATGGAAACCCACCCCTCTTTTGGGTGGAGATCATGTGGTCCGCCGAGTGAATTCCAACTAGAGCGCAGCGGCCGCTTTGACCTTTTTGTTTGATGTTGATAGCCACCACTTAAACTGCCGGGAAAATCTTCCGACGAAGCTGTAGCACCTGGTGAGCGTCATCCAGGATGAGGTCAGGGATAATATTTCCGCCTAGTGTCATTGCTGGAATCACTTCCCGCTTGCGGAGCACGTGCCAACATTTCCACAGGCAAACACATAACCGTGTCCTCGAAGTTTGAGTGGAAAATTTCGTCATCAAGAAGCCTCTTGGCAACGTTGCATGTGCGGTCGATATTGTATTCTCGGAGAATATCTGTTAGGGCAGGCTGGTTCCGTTGGATCAAGCTCATCACTTGCTTCCGTTTTGCGGACCATGGAGTTAGGGCCGCGAAAAATGTGTTGGCAGGCTAGGTAAACTAGCCTTTCATCAGGGTCGCTGTGCGCCATCTCAAGGACAAGGGGTTAGATTTGCGAGTGCAAGAGAGAATAAAGGTCGAACATTATATATCAGCCAGCTTCCGCAAACGGCCAAAGAGCCTCTGGAGAATTCGCTTTCGTCTTTTGGGTGTCAAGTCCTCACTAGAGTTACAATGAACATCAGCTTGCTGACAACCACAAGCTATAAAATAGCCAACATGAATATTCAGTGTTTCTCGCAGACGCCTGGGGCTCGAGCTGGAAGTAACCTATGGGATAGAATTTCCCCCTACATCAACATAGTTATCAATGGCCGCGTTTCCTTGACGAGCTCTCCTTAACTACATTTACTTTCAAGTATCCTGACTTGATATCTGTAAACACACTTGAACCCTTCCGTCGAAGCTTCTTGCATCAAAGGTTCTTGCCGAACATCCAGTTTCTCGTCTGCAAGACAGATCAAGCAGGGCAAGAGGCATCCCCAGGCAGCAGCATTCTAGCGCTGGTTTTGTGGCTATGCCTTGCAACTAAGTTAGCTAGTGCTCCAGGCGATGAATCTAGTAGCCAAAATGAAGGGGATATTGGGTAATAGTGGAAATTAGAGTTCAGCTAAATAATTAGTTAGGCAGGTCTCGCGAGACCCGCGAGCACAAGGTGAGAAGCTATGGGCCGGAAGGTCATGGAGGCATATCGAAAAGTTGAAGGTCTTGTCATTCTAATGGTTGAGCGAGAAAGTACGATATTAAAGATAGAAGGAAAACCTAAACAGAGCTAAACCCAATTAGGGAAGAGGGGCTAGTTGACTTTTAGTGCGGCAAATGGCTCCAATCGCTGAGCCTTACCGTCGACCGAGCGGTCTCGGTAGAGTTGCCGTATTGGATCCTCGACAGGAGGACCCTCCGGCTGACAGAAGCTCACCGCTGTCTCTTGCGCACTCACCCAGCTCACCCGCGTCTCACCCAAGTCGCGCAACCGTAAAGCGGCCTCACCCTAATCTCACCCAGAGCGACATCCACCCGATTTCTGGCCACGCTTAAGCCACACACTGGCTGGTTAGTAGTCTGGTGGATGACCACACACGGTGTCGCGGCAGTTGGCAGTGTCCTAGGATACTGCCGCGACACCGCCTTGGGAAAAGCAAGACATTGAAGAACACGAATATACCACCCGCGGTGACACGGCACAAACGGTGAAGATTCGACTTTTCTTGACTGAAGACGGAATGGACCAGTCCAAGTGGATGAAGACCTTCACCGCCGAATGCACTTATGATGGTGTTGTTGTCGCCACTGCTCTAACCCGCTATATCGACCGAGAGGACATACGCTCTGAACCCTGGGAGAAATGGAAGTACTCAGCAAGGAAATATGCGATATTGCTTTCCAAGTATTTGACTAATACGGCACGGGCACGGTCAAGGCCAAGTATAAGGATCATCCAGTGCAAAGAGGTAGTGGAATATAGGGAAACAAGCTTGATTTTGGCCCTCTTTTCCTATTCGAGGAGCTTCACGTTGCAGCGCTCGAGCTACGTTGGCAAGGGCTGGGGCATAAAATACTGTCTTCGTTTCTGGACAAAGCCAAACAGTTCTGCCGGGATAACAAACCAGACAGCGAAAATGCAGATCTTGTCTACCGTTCTAACCAGGCCTTTGAGCAAGCATGGATCCTCCACGGCGTGGTAAGTCCCGGACTACTAACAGCTGACATCGAATCGCAGTTAATAGGTAAGTCTGTCAAAGAGCGTTTGATGAAGGTGTCAACTGAGTCATATTCGTACAGAAATAACCGTGCTCACAAGCCTTGTTGCTGAAGAAAGACATTTAGCCAGACTTCGCCCGGTTCGCTCGACCGTTCGCGCCATGAGAAAACCGAGCATCTTCCAGTTACATCCACAAAATCAAGACCATGGACCGCGATGATACTTGGTAAAGTTAGCAGAGACAATTGCCGTCCTGATCTCTGTGTCGGTGACACCAAAAAAAGAACCCAAAGTACAGCAGCGACCATAAGGATACTCTTGGTAGGATGACCAATTATCAATTCGAAAGTATGAGCCATATCTCCCCGAGGGAAGCGCCTAATGGCGGCTAACTACTTGAAAGACATTTCCTGTGTGCTTGTCCGGGACATGTAGACGATCTTGTGTTTTACCTAGATCAGAAATCTGCAGCATTCCACAGGCCAAGACAAGGCTCCAAGTTTGACGGTGCGATCACCTTGATATTGCTCTGGAAGGTCTTTTCCTTATTCCTCCTCCTTTATTTAGACAACCAAAAATTATTAGCTCCTGCAATTTATCTTCCAGGGCAGATTCACATTAACACCTCGAGGTCAGGTACTCAATGTCCATTATGCCACGTGCACCACCAAGGCTCGACTGTCTCGTATTATGTGACTCAAGCTGAGAGCTTTCTCGGTTCAATGCAGTCCCTGATGGTTTCTTCATTATTTGAATCTCGCGGCAGAAGGTGTTGGACATGCTCCAAAAATGCCTTGATCCTCATAGCAGCAACAAGCCTCTGAGACATTTTCTTGTTCCCCAGAGCCTCCAAAATATCGGTAACTATAATCTTCAAGGCTTTCAGCTTGCAGCTTAGGGATATTCTCCGCCGGCTATCGGTCTCGATGTCGTCAAGACAAATAGGATATAGTGATATATGATGCGCTATAGATCCAATATCATCGGACACTGGATCCATGGATTGTGCCGGAGCTCGAATAACATTCATCGTTTTGCCAATATAACTTTTGCTTCCAGCGGTCTGGCGTTCTGCATGGGCTACCTCCATGCAAGTCAACGCCTCTCCCCCTGCGGAGTCGGCAACAATATTTGCATTGAAGTGCTGACGAACGTCTTCAAGTGCCAAGTTGCTCCGAATCAAGCGGAAATATTCAAGTGCGCTCTCTTCATCAACCTCGCGTATTGTCTGAATAAGTCCGCGGAGCATTTCGTTATCCTGTTCCAGAGAATCGATCTTGCGCTTTAGTGCGATTTTGCGACGCCCATCGCTCTCTTCGTCAATCACACAATCTTGCCCGCTGCGACGGCAGATATAGCATGGACTAGCTCCATCACACTATATAGTGATTAGAAGAGTCTCCACGGGATAAGTAAGAAGTCCTACTCTTTGTTTTCGTTTCCGGCATTCTATACAAGCACTGGATGCCCTCTGCAGCCGAGTGTGGAAACTGGTATCTGTTCGAAAAACGGTATCTCCTGGTTTAGGGGCAATCGCCCTTGGTGGTTGCTGGCTGCCCATCTTTTTATTGTTTCCCCGGGAATTCAGGTGAAGAATAAATACAATCCCCTATCGTTCAAATATATGCTGCTAATTCTCAAAAGTTGAAAAGGAGGAGATGATGGGTTGCGTCACCGTGATAGAAAACAAAGTGCACACGGATTCAAGTTCCGCCAATCGCTATTGGTTTTCCGCCATAGTAGGGTAGTTCCGGTAGCAAAATTCAAGGCGCCGTCGCAAGGTCGGTCAATTCATCGGGCTTTATTCAAGAGAAGAGAGGTCACCGTCGTTTTGGATATCATTCTCTTGATGAACCTGGGACTCTTTTCAATACCCGTCTTTGAGAATTTGAAAATATGATGTCAAAATCAGGCGGACAATCCCGGATTTTCGATCACTTGCGACCAGAGGGTCGCTAAAACTTGTCAGTGTCAGTTGCCTTACAGGCAAACCAATCTACTGCATGTACAGCATGTCAGGCGCGGAAGTCTAAGGTTCGTGATAAAAATTTCTCTCTTCGCTCACTTCCCTGCTTCACACTCTCGCGCTTCTGCAGACATTACAGTCAAACCCTGCGCCTATTCTGCCATCGCAAGATGTCGATCTTGCCAGATGAACCGCAAGAGACGATTTTCGCGGTTGTACTTTTTCTAATGGTCATGCACGGACCGCTCGCTTCCTAATTCCGGCCAATTACGCGCTGGAAAATATTGTTCCAAGGCTATATGTGATACGTCAAATCATACAGTGCAGACATTCTTAACCAAACCCCCTTTTAGCTGCTAAGTAAAGGAAGGGCAACAATTAATCTTGGAGGAGCGATGTCCAGGCGGCAGTAGGGAGGCGGTAGGCAAGTCACAAACACGCCACTACACTAGGGCACAGATAACCCCTCTAGCTACCTTTACGAGTGATGCTTTTGCCTTAAGTCTAAACTTTGCGCATTTGTAGGGATAACAGGCAAGAGGAACATCCTAGACATCGCCAGTGACCGCGGGAATGATACCCGCCTTCCGCGCACCAATTGGATCGATCCTTGAGAAAGGGGCCTAGAACAAATGCGTCTTTCGTAGTACTACAATATATGCTCGGCGTAGACGGCGATTGACTTGTGCTGACTCTCTTATGGCGGCGTAAGTTACGCACGTGATCGCGAGAAGGGCGACAGGCGTCAAGCGTAATGGACTTTTCGGTCCACACACTTGCCAAAACAGAGCTGAAAGAGCATGGAAAGGTTCGCGCTAGCGCCCCTGTGAACCATGCCAGGGTGAGTTTAAGGCTTGCAGATCCCAGTAGGATCATAACGCGGCTGGAGACAATCTTGCACATTCCATCAGGTCTAGGTTGGTCGATAACTCGTCCCCGAAAGCGGGGTGACCTATGCATAATAACAACACTGTGATATCTTTGTCCTATACCAAAGTTTATAGCATTCTAGTCTTAGCTCATCTGTACCTATGGACTCCACTTTCTGCTTTTTCTTAGTCATTTACTTTTGTTGTTCCACTCTTACCATATGCATGTATCCTAATCTTACCATATCCTTATTCGTAGAAGCAAGTGCATTCTTAGCTATCATTATTGGTCCGTCATCAGTCAACACACCTGTCATCTAGTATGCTCAGAACAGATCCTCCCAACCTTTAACACATGCTGCGTCGCCGACTTTCTTTAATAATTTATCCAGCCATCCTCTCCCCACCCCTACCATTCTGGCGACCCTTCAGGCCCTATTATTGTCATTCTCTGTATCATCTGGTCCTCTCCCGTGTTGCTTAGCCAGGTCTTGCTTGCTTTACCCACCATATATGCTCCCCAGCATTCCCCTCAATTTATAAGTCCTGTTCTGTGACCTTACCTAGCACTGCGATCATGGTTGTATGTGCTACACGTACGTTCGCTTGTTCATGGGAGCATTGTGGCAAAGTGATATGAGATTTCTTGTCTTGTCATATCCATACTAAGAGATACAAGTCCTTTGCCCGCAGAGCTGACCTTCACAGACATTACCGCATCCATACGAACGAGCGACCATACTCTTGCACTATGACGATTGCAAAAAGAGTTTTATTCAGCAGAGCTCCCTGAAAGTCCATGTAAGAATACACACGGGAGAGAAGCCATACATCTGTGATCGTTCTGAGTGCCAGAAAGCCTTTTCTGATGTACGATCATTTAAGCTTTAAGCTTGACTTTTGGAAGCTCAAGGTCTGACACCTGTCTATCTTAGTCATCTAGTTTTGCTCGCCATCAGCGGACTCATCTTAGGGTGCGGCCTCATGACTATGGTACACCAACATACAAAAAAGGTACATTAGTGTCAAAAGATCTGTCATTATCTACTAAGCTCGCTCTTGGATTTTCAGTAGTAATTCACGTCTTGATAGGCAACAACGATCTTACTCACCAGAATCGAGGACTGACAAGGAGATATCCTTGAGGAGCTCAACAAATATTTTCAGCACTTCAAGCGCCATTCCAATCTTATTACCAGACTATCCACTCCCTGAGCATGTTGCTTGCCCCAGGACTTGCGCCTCCTTAATCTCTACAGTGCCTCTTGAGTCTTGGCCCGTTCAGAATCAAACCCTGGCTTGTATAGCTGTTGAGCAGCTACCGGCTGGAACCCAGAACTTCCCGGGGGCTGACTTAGACCTTCCGGATTATTATTTCCAGCACCATGTGGTGTACTGGCAACAGGAGTATTATTGCCAAATCTATGCTAGGCCTGTCTATGGGTATTATCCGTCTTTGTTCGCTTGGTTGCCAGCTGCTGCAAGCCTTTCATATGGAGATTCTTTTACGCCTGCGTTATATGAAGCGCTTGATAGTCGTTGACTCCTCGTTTTTCTTGGACCAAAAGCTCGGCAAGCTGCATAATGTCACCTATATGAATTTCAGAGCCACTGGTCGAATGTATATAATGTCAAGCCGCCTGATAACCTAAGACTTAATATCATCCATCTCGGCAGGCTAAGCATAGGAGTCTGGGTAATATTTCCGTTGCTACGTTTACTCTCAATACCTGTCCTAACGAATCTGTAGCCCAAAGCTAATGAAGTCTTGCCGTGACCGTATCGCCGGCTATCATAAGCGACAAGGGGAGTGTTGTTATCTTGCTGCACGGTGGTGAACCCAAGTAGATACTATATATGTTCTTCGGTGGTGCTCTGCACTTCTCATTTAACTCACCCGTCACTAGAATAAAGCCATGGATGAATAGATATTCCCTCTGTTTCTAGAAGGGAATTAGTGCCTTTCAAAGTGAGGGTCACGGGAATAACTAAAGAGATTAATGGCGCCGCCAGTTTCCGGAAATCCTGTACCATCTGTTCTCACAACATGGATGAGGACACTTAATGGGCTTCGGTGGATCCATCCTTACTAAATGAGTGTTGATATGGGTTAGCAAAGTAGCCTTTATCCGCCATTGTTGGAACTAGTCCGGTACTGCCATTGACGCCAGTCCTCCTCTGGCCATCGAGGAAGGGTACATGATTAGGAATCGTAAGCATCTCGAGAATAAATTGACAGAGATGAATTAATAAGTAAACAGGAAAAGCAACGCCCATCATTGCAATGATACTAAAAGGAAAGAAATAACTAACGTAATTCCCGGTCGATCCGCTCACCCCGGTCGATCCGATCACTCACCAAAATATATTTCTACCGATCGAACTTGAAGCCATTCTCAACAACTCAATTATTAATTTAATACAGTAATCTAAGCCGTGCGACGATTAGGACATCTAGTTCTAATATGCCCCTGAATATTACACTCAGAACAGGTTGGTGGGGCACGCTTTCGGGGTTCTAAAGTTGGTGGAGTAGTTTGATCAGCTTCCTCACCACCACCATCTTCCTGATTCAATTGCTCATTTCTCGATGAAATTAAGTCCCTTGCTTCTTGCACTTGGAGGCCTGGTGCAGGGGCCATCTGGCGTTTTGATCGACTCTTTTTAAGCGCTTGAACTTGACTTTCTGCGCGGAGATCATTCAATTCCTTCAGCGTAAATGCAGCGTTGTAGATAGCTAGCTCGCAACCCTTTATAAGCTCATCTAAAGCACGTTTAGAAGGACTGGAAGGACTATGGGATCGCTTAGAAAGCATCTTCTTAATAGAAGAAGCTTTCTTATATAGCTATCAAACTATATGAGGCGTGGCAAGTGTAGAGGAAGAGGTTGAGGCACCCCCCGGCTTGGGGGGGTTGTGTAGGTATAGATATCGAATAATTAAATCGCTTTAGGACCTCATTAGGATCATAAGGCTCTATACTAGTCCCGTGAAAGCCGCTATGGATGTTCTGAATAGTAAAGACCTTATCGCAAGCTTCAGGATAGGCCTGTAGGAAGTCATGTTTATTAATATAGTGGAAGCCTAGGCGCATCTTCACTTCAACTAGGCCTCCATAAGCTCGCTTTAATAGCCCAAAGCAACCAACATCTAGCGGTTGAAGCAGGTGCGATGAATGCACAGGTATACAGATATAGATAATCTTATTATCTCTGCAAACCTTATCAAATAAAGGAGTTAAATGACTCCCATGACCAGCCAGAACATCTAGTTAATGACTTGCAATTATACGCTTAGTTATATAAGGAATAAAGCACTTTTAAAGCCACTAGAGAGTTATCTAATTAGTGGTCCATCCATTCGCGCTTAATTTAATCCTCTAGTCACCTAGGAGACCTAGTTCTTCGAAGATCCCTTAATATAAACCTTCCCTTGAGAATTATAGATGGTGGAAAACATATCCCTTTAACCTAACATATTCAATCGAGGTGACCCATTCGCGCTGGCCTAGCTAAATAAGGTGAGGCTTCCCAAGCATCTCCACCCTTGTAACAACCCGCGAGGTTGATATTAGGCCCATAGCAAAGCCAGTTTCATCAAAGTTGTAGATATCTTTATCCTATATACCGTTCTCCTTGCGCAAGGCCTCTAGGGTATTAAACCACTAATCTATAGCCTTAGGATCCTCGCAGAGGGCGCGCTAATAGTTATACTTGCGCGTGAATCGACTTTTAATGCTTCCATGGCGCTGAATAAAAGTGGCGACCCAGTTTTTCCCAAGCGGCTTTGGGGTGAGTGGGGGGGGGGGGTTGTCGATTCTACTTATAGAAGAAGATATGCCATTTACTACACATGCGAGACCCTAGGAGCGACTCCTCGTCGATCCCTAGATAATATCCATTCAACTAATACCTCTTCCTGAGATTCAGAGAGTCGGAATGTGTGGTTGCGATGTTCTGCCTTAAATTGATGTCCCTTCATGCGATCGCCGGAGTGTTGAGTAAGGTATCTCAAAAATCTCTGTAGCTCGACGAATACTCGGAATTTCACGCTTTTCCAAGGCTTGTATTGCAAGCCGAATCCTCCCCTCTTACTCAGCTAAATTTTCACGAGGTTAACGCGGTTTTCGTGGCATGGTTGGTGGGTGAATAATTACGCGTTGAACTCGCGATGATTTTTTGGTGGGTGATCGGATCGACCGGGAATTACGTTAAAGAAGGAATTTTGACTAAGCAAATATTTAGTGAACATAGCGAGACAGCGAACGGAATGGCCGATGGTGTATATCAGAGAGATGAGTCTAACGAGTGACTCGACTAACCCACAAGCTTGTGCCTCCACTACCACAATAATCTGCTTCATCCAGGCTCTTCAACGCTCGGAGCAGCTTCAAGCCGATATTATGCTCCTCTCTCCTGATATCAGCCAGCTCGGAGCTAAGTCTGGCGGTAGTCTTCTTTATCTCTTCTCTCGCGTCCATGTCATAAGGGGCAGGGCATGGCCCCGAAGGCAACATTAAATCGTAGATGGCTTTCTTTATAGATTCCCTACGGCGAATCAGGGAATATCTCATCGTTTCTAGTACTTCGATACGATTTCGGTTTCCTCGCCCAGATGAGCACAGCAAGGGAGATATTGAGAACGAGCCAGTATCGGACGGTAGCGAATCAGTCGATCTTTGAGGGATTATTTTGTCAATAGTGCCGGGAAGTAGTTCGTCTTCGGCCACTATTGTAGAGGAGGAATGAAAAGTGACGATGGTTTTGTTTGGGTTTGATGATGTGGTGGAACGGTCCCCAGCGCCCATTATCAGATGCAGGTCACTTGGTGATGTATGAGAATCGTGTTTGAGAGTCATAGCCCGCTTCTCTAACCTATTTGTCCATTTCATAATTCTGCTGGGCAGGCTGGTCTTCTGAGCTGGGATGGCGATGTCGCCACCAGTGATTGTTGTGACGACTGACGGGGCCACACAAAGAGGTCCTTGCTCCGGAGACGGACAGTCACAGGCCTTCAAGCGGTCATCACTGCGTGATAAGTGTATCCGTGAAGAGGGCGTTTCCATTACCTCCCTGTAGGTGGCAGTTTCCGGCGATTGTCTGCTAACTGCTCTCCATGGCTTGAGAATATTGGGAGGATGGTCATCGCTATCGGGTGATGGCCGGCATTGTTCTTTGGCCAAATACCTTACCCACTGAAGGTGGCCTCTACCCCGCGCAAGCATACTCGAACGACGAGATACTTTCTGTTGGTTTATTGGATCCCTATAGAGACAGTCCTGCCTGGATTTATGGTTATCCGACGAGAGCGCTTGTGAAAGACGACTTTCATACGATGGAGAGCGCCGTGATAGATCGATACTGTTGATCTGTGTGATGTATGCGCCCAGAGCCCGGGGCGTAAGGTACAGTTGCCGCCCGTTGTACGCCACAGCAGAGCAGTCCACATCGAGTCCCGTCAATATCTCCGCCGGCGATTTATACAAGCCAGAGTATAGGGAAAGGCTTTTCTCATTATTTGTGACATGCCAAACACACTAAGTCCATGAATTAATGGCACAACGCCAGACAAGCCAGTCGCCACGAACATTGATGCTCGGAAGAGACCTGCGAGACTTTTTTAGGCGCGAACCGAAAGTAATGAATATGAACCCGCTAGAATCTGGGAGAAGGAGAATAGAAACAAGACAAACACACTCAGAAACATTCCTAGAGAACTCCGACATCTAACAATACTTAATGCGCAGAACAAATATTAAAAGCCAAGCTATCCAACACCACCCCCCACCCCTGATGACCTCTTAATTGCTCACATTCCTACCTCATAGATTCGAGGAGCATTATCGATAAGACAGCCAACGTAGTTGTCGATCCCTAGTATTATATGTTGTAGCAAGCTGTGGATAGAGGTAGAAAGGCTGTCCAAGATTCTGCCATGCTTGGTCCAGGCCATAGCTCGGGTTCTATATCCCATGCTGTGATTGTTGCGACTGGCGCCGGGCTGGATAATACTGCTCTTGGAATTTCCACTTCTTCGGACTGTGTTAGACTAAGGAGTAAAGGTACTGAATGGAGATAATGTGACAGGCCTGGCGCGAAGAAGAGGGACGAGATGGCTATTTTTGCTCTCTCACTCCCTCCACAGAGCAGTTCACCCGCGCCGCTTTCCTCTAAGCCCTCAAGGGCTCGAATGTCTGTGCAGAAAACAAATCGATTAACTGCCTGGGAGAATTCTTCCTGTCGCATAGACCATTCCAGGTAAAGAGCGGCGACATCCTTGTGGTAGTCAACAAGCGTCTCAATGGTCTCTGGTGTTAGCTTAAAGGACATATTGTACTGATGTACCATATCCACATGCACGACGTATGCTTCCACATGAACTGCCTGGTATCCCATTATAGGATGGCGAACCGTCATTGAACAGAGTGTCCAGATAGCCCCGGGCTCAGAGAGTATCATGCTTAAGTATTTTTCCTGTTGCGACACATTATCGAGGCGTGTTCTAGCCTGGCTGACCCGATTTAGAATTGCCGTGAGCCATGAGTCGATCTGAGATCCAAGTAGCACGTGCGGCGAGGATCGTGTCGCAAAGGCGGATGATGGCAGGATAGGAGCTAATTGCAGCTTGGTTTCAGGGTGTAGGTCTGGCATTGCTGGATATTGCTTCCTCAAAAGAAAGTCCATAAGATCTTCGGAAGTCTGGGTAGATTCTTGGCTTTGTTAGCTATTAGAGAGTCATGGAAGTTCAGTACACTGACTCTCAACATGATTTGGACCCTTCTGTGTCCAATGACCTTGCTTTGGAACCACATGGCATGCCCATCCGAGCACAGCTAGGACAAGGTCTTTCTGGAGCACACTTTCGGGAGGTAAAACAGGTAAGCTTATATCCAAGCTTTATGTAGTTTCTCATACCCTTTTTTTCTGCTGGGAACACCGTGTACAAGCATAAACCCTTTGTGTAGACTTGGCTGGGAAGTATCAGCAACAATCAGAGAACACCACCCCCGAAATCAATACATACCTTGGTCCATGTTCTAACATGAAAGGAGAAGATGATGGGAAGCATTAGAAGCTCATGGCACCAGGGTTCACAAACTAATAACCCATGGGATCAACCCAACCTCCCTCAAATGGATTGTCGGAGAGAAATGGTGGCACCGCTCAAAGTTTGACCCTACTACCTTCGCTTCTGACAGTTCCCAATGCTGGTTATCTTCCACACCAGTTACGCGGGCGCACTGCTCTTTAATACCGCGGCGCTTATCCTTCCTGCGCTCTACGGAACACTAGTCAAGATCTGGATCGCGAATATCAACTCCTCGCTCGTTGTTACGACGGATGTGTACACATACCTTGGGACTGTGGCAGAGGTTATAAATGAAGGCTTACCGCGCGCAGTATGGGTAACCATCGCTGATAAAGATGCACGATCGCTCAAAGCTCGACTGGGACTCGCCTATACGTTGATAGTTATCCAGGCGATTCTGGGACTATTGATGAGTATTGTCTTCGTCGGCGCCGCCCAACAGTTCTCGTCAACCTTTGTACCACATGATGTCCGCGAAGCGAGTATCATATATATCCGCATAAGCGCCTTCTCCGCTCTCAGCTCTGCAATCGAACTTGCTGTCTCGAATGCCACGCGAGCGCTAGCCAACACCAACAAAGAAGCTCCTAAGGGTGCATCAGGACCTACACAGACCGCCGAGCACGATAATCGTCCAAATGCGCACCGGCAAGATAGGACTCCGCCACTACCTCTATCAGAGAGGAGTGCCGGATGTACCAAACAGAGATTGCCAATGCGGAAGAGCGACACAATCGGTCCGCCACATCCTTCTCGCATGCCCTACCTTCAGCGGCCTACGGGAGGAAATCTTCGGCAGACGATGTGGGGGACCAGAAGGGGAGGGAAGCGTAAAGACAATCTTAAACACGCCCAATCTTGCGATCCAAGCAGCCAAATTCATGCTACGCACAGGGCTCCTTTGGGCAATTTGGAGCTGTACGCAGGGAGGAAATAGACGAGGCAGAGCACTGAAGTCATTGGGTACGTAGAAGACAATAGAGGGTCTGGGGAACCCTGGACAGCTATCTAAGCGGAGCCAAACCCTCGAGATGTTGACAATTGTGGGTGGATACATGTATTATCAACCGCCCCGACCATTCTCAGTGGTAGGGCTGTTCCCGCATAGCCATAGAAATTATAGGCTGGGACGGTGTATGAATTAATCCAAATCCGAATCCGAATCCGAATCCTAGGAAATTGCGAAAACGACTACTCTCAGTTCAGACCAAATTTCTGAAATTTCTCGCTAAACAGCCATTCAATTGACCTTAAACCTGGTTCAATCTACTAACCAGGCTTCGGGCTATAAGCTTAAGCTCAAATATCACCGCCGACATTAACGTATTTCTTCAGCTTGGGGAAAGTCGCCGCCCACTCGCGCGACACTTGCCAATTCTCGTACATGTACAGTCCCGTCTCAAAGTTCGGCGTTGGCATCAGCTCGCCGTTTCCGCTTGTGGAGATGAAATCTTGGTCTTCCGGCCATCGGAAGTGGACCGACCGCATGTACATTATGACCGAGTGGCGCGGGTCTTGGATCTGAGATTTGTGGATCATGCGGATCAGACGGTCGCGAAGCCCAGGCCACGGAAGAAAGTCGATGCAGACGGGGTGAGGGATTGTCGTTTGAATTTCGGTCGGGTATAGCCACGTGGGAACATCACGTTGTGTTTCTTCATCGGGACAGAGGCGCCACTGCGACATGTTAGTTATGTTCCGAGAAAGTTCTGAGCTTGGACTTACCCGTAAGAACCGATACATCACGACATAGCAGGCAAAGAGGGTGCGGACATTTGCAGGTCGGACCTGGCTGAAGACGAGGCCGAGGATCTGGATGACGGGATTATCGGTCGAGGTCGGTCGGAAAACGTGCACAAGGGATGGTGTACGAGGGAGGCGTGTGCTGTACGAGATACTCTTGTTGAGGCCTTGGTGGGCACGGAGGAGGATGGAAAAGGTCGAGTATTCGAGACACTCGTAGTAGGAGCGGTGGTCGACTCCGCACCGACAGTCAACTGGGACATTGTTATCGGGCTCTCCAAGTGCCAGACCAGGGACCAATATCGGTTTATCAGCCGGCAAGAGGAGTACATCCTGTGCGCTATGGACAGGCCGCGGTAGATGGAACGAGGTGGAGGAGTTGTCCCCGGCAGCGACGGGACTCGGGGTCTCCGGAAGGTCAAAGCAGAAGAAATATCGTGTCTGGTCCCTGAGTCGCTCGTTCAAAACGCGTACCTGATCGGTCAACAACTGGACCGCATGCTGCAGGTTTGTCACTTGTGTTTCGACGTTTTCCATCTGCCTCCTCTGCTGTTCACGTTTTGCCTTGTGATTGATTCTGTCTGCGTGTCTCTTGCGGGCGAGCTGGGCTTCGGTGCGTCGACGCTTCTTCTGAGCGCCCTCGGTGGGCGTGTTGGGCGAGGATTGATCGACCTCCATGGTTTCGTGACTGGTGTGACTTGACTCGGGGGAGGGAGTTGGTGAGGAGGGAATAATAATGACGGGCTGGGATTCTTTGGCCCCGGAGGCGCACGGGACTGAGCCTGCTGCGATCCTGCGAAACCCCGCAATTTTGGGCCTTGTTTCATCCTGTTCTGCCCACGGGGCCGCCACGCCACACTTGGCCTTATGTCACTCTTTTTCACACAACCACCTTCACGAGGCTATCAGAGACCTCGGACTTTATCTTCATTTCTTGATCTTCATGCCTCTGTGAGTACAACCGCACACCCTTTTAATCTCAAGCTGTACACTAATCCCGCGATTCGTGGGGGAATGGTACGGGGAGCTCTTCCCCGTGCATCTGTCATTCGGATCGCGTCTCTCGCTACTGGGCAGCCGGATCATGACGGCCGCCGCGTGTTCCTGGCATTGAATACGCGATCCTACCCCCGCATGTGTGCCTCCTCATCCGAGAGCTTCCTTCCCCGCTCTCCATAAGAACCACATAATTGAAGCGCTTACGAAGTCGAAAGTATACTGTGTGGAAGGTTACAGCAGACGTCTGACGTGTCGCACTTCGGCTGGATCCGCTAGCCTTCGGTTTTCGCCTCTTTCGGGAAATGTTTACAAGCTGATTTGAGTTTGAGCATCCACAGCAATCCACATTCCTTGACCAACCCCTGCATTTTTCAGTCAGGAACGCACATCAAAACCCTGAAGAATGTAGAAGTCAATATGAGAATCTCTTTCTGACACGAGTCTTCTTAACTACGACTATGACCACGTCGCTCGCGCTTGACGATCCGAACACCCACGGCCATTCATAGAACATTTTACCGTCGAAAATCATGCTGGCGACTATGCGATGACTCCTCTCTTTTACAAATTCTTGTCGCCTCTAGATATTTATGATTTCCCATGGCATCATCCAGCCATATCGCCAAGCAAGGCCAATGTCGCTTGGCTTCGCATCCTTACCAATGCTGGAAGATTTTTGTGACAAATTGGGGCTGCAACTATATCGATCGCGGTCGAAAAAGCGCTCAGCCGAGATGGACGATGAGTTAGAAATGAGGCTAGTGAGGTTACGAAGGACACGCTCGGAGTGTTAGCTCAGATAACCAAACGTTATAACATAAACAGCAAGTCCGAATACGACGTACTAAGAAGAATAGGTTCCGAATAGCTAATTGTTCATACCTAATCCTCCAAAAGACCAACAAACCTTAGAACGCCAGCTTTCTTTTCCAGAACGGATAGCCGTTAGCGACTCACTGAAGGTCTAACAGCCCATATTCACGGAGCCCGAGGCATGAGATTCCCCCGCATCATTTCCAACGGGCGACTTCTCTTTTCGTGCAATGCACGGTCGTGTTCGCACCCACTAGGCTCTTATTGGCTGATTTATGGAACTCTGGCGAAAAAGGCAACCCGATTGGCATTACAGTTTAGGATCCCCCGCCCCTCTAGTTGTAGTATGTTCTTGGAGGATCCACGGTGATAGTACTTTCGTCCATGCCTCGCTGATATATACAGTCTGAGCCTCTTTCAGTCCTAAGCCAGCCCACTTACTCTTTGAGTATGACCTTCTTCCATTTCTTGATGCTTTCAAGATGAGTACTGGCAGCGTAGTGTCATGCCCACCTCCGTTTATCGCGGAAGCCTCCATCACGGATGGCGGTGGATGTTAGTTATAGTTGTCTCCACATAACTTTCCTTGTCCCTAGGCTGACTCTACAAGATATTGGCGGCCGCTGGTGCAAAGAGATTGCAACGATATCGTGCTGCTTTTCATGCCCGATCACGGATTGGCGATATTCTGATGGTATTGGCCCTGAATTGTTTCCCCCCTTACTTGCACGTATCCCGTTTGACACGATCAGATTTTACCCTAGAAATGATTCCCTGGATTGGGGTCTTTGGTCTAGTGCTCCTTGTAATAGCCCTACTCTCCTTCGCCGTCCTGCCCACCACAATCACCTCACGCCACTACCTCACGACGAGCCCTGTCATCGGATTCACATTCATGGCTGTAGCATTCATTGTCCCGTCTAGTCCGAATATCAATGAGTGTCGCAATGATATTACACCGAACGACTGGCTGTCTGAGAACTACTGTGCCTTCTCTGGCTCGATGCTTATTTATGGCGTTTGGGTCGTTGTCTTGAGCTGTACCCCACCCCTCTCTTACATTACTACGAGTGGTGGTATTGACCGATGAATCTAGGCTTCTTCCGCTCCCTCTTCCTCTACATCCATCTCTGCTGCGAGATCGAGCTTGGCCCCAAATTCCGCTACACGTCCTTAGCAATAACCTTCATTGGCTCAGCCGGCCTCCTCGTTCTCGTTCTCCTCCTTTCAGGCGTCCCATACCACATTGGAAAGCTGTGCTACATCAACTTCTACCGCAGCAAGGAATCTTTATGGGGCCCGATCCTCGCCGTCACCAGTCTATCCCTCGTGCTCCAGCTGCTAATCATGGCCCACTGTATCTTCCACGTCGTCCAACCGGGTCCCGCCTCCATTACCAATACCGTACTCGGATACTGGCGACGCCATCATTCCGCCGAATCGCGTGGCTGCCACTCAGCTTCCCGCAGACACTCACGAAGCGCCAAGCGCTCCGAAGGATCGTTCGCACCTTGCAGATGCAATGGCGCTCAACGCTCATCTCCGCGCTGATCGTCTTCCATGCAGCGTTTATGGCACGGGCGCTGTTGAGCGCTAGAGACGCGACGACCTACTCGCTTGACGAGGTGATGCCGTGGGTCATCTGTCTCCTTGACTCTTCGGGCGATAAGGACCTGTGTCTTGACTACGCGGCGCGCTTCGGTCCCAGTAAAGAGCTAAGTATGGCGGCGTGGACGCTTCTTTCTGTACGCGGCCTTTCCTGCTTGCTTTCTTGCCCTCTAGACAGACATGTAATTGTGCGAGCTAATGCGGAGCAGCTGTCAGGATTCTGGGCCTTCGTGTGCGTCATGCGCAAGAGCATGGCTGTCGCCTGGGTCGAGTATGCGAGGGAAAAGTGCCGAGCCTGGTCATGCGTCTCGCGGCGATGGGGTTCCGGGCTTCGGTCCAATAGTAGTGGGGACGAGAGGGTAGAGCAGTATCATCCGCTCGGATCGGTGGCACATGCCTCATGGCAGGAGGAAGGGGGGAAAAAGTTGAATGCTCCGCAGACAGCCCATATTTCGGATAGTTCTCCTACATCTTGGCCATTGCGGGATTGATGAATATGATATTCATAATTCACTCTTTCGGAGGCGCGACGTGAACCTATCCTTAGGCAAACCAGCCACGACAAGCTTTGAGGCCGGTCGCAGAGACTGGGGGTTGCCCTTGGGCATTGTCGGTCGAGATAAGCCGCTTTCTTGTAGAGCAGCTTGAAGCCGCAGAGATAGCCATCGCGAACGACAGAAACACCTTGGCCGCTTCATACCGACAGACAGGCTTCTCAGAGAGTGTAGTAGCGATACGGTAGCGGCACAGTGGGAACGGGACTGCGTCGATGAGAAACAGAGGCAAAACGCACCATCACCTTGGCATAGTTATATAAATTAGGCTGAATTGATGTTCTCAGTAAAGGGTCGCCGGCGTCGCGTAGCGGCGAGCAACTACGGTGAAGGTCGGACTTTCCTCTGTCAGACAGAGTGCAAAATGGGAAGGCAGTCCGACGTATAACCACCATCCATATCATGGTCCCTGTCCAACCCACCTAACTCACTGCCGATGCCTGTCTCATAGCCTGAATCACTTCAAGATCCATCGCTCAAGCCGTCGGCTGAATATGGATCATGCTCGTCCTCGGCCTCTATCTCTTCCGCCGATGCTCCAAACGTGCCGTAAGGTCCAGGCCGTGTCTCTGTGATTGGAGGCAGACAAGGCCTGGTTGATCAGGCAGAACAAAGGCAAAATCTCTGCTGGGGAGGCCTTAATTTGGGGACAACATAGATACATATAGAACCTAGTAGAGCTCTGACGTCTTGACAGAATTAAACATCTGCTGGCAATAGCCTACTTCTCTATGGGCATAAGAGCATCAACCGGGGAAGTAATGGGGAAGGAATCCACGATGACCGGGAAGACGATCAAACGCCCTCTTCAACAGCCCGCTAAAAACGGTCCATCTCAGTCCCCTTTTATTGACGCCCAGCCGTGGAGAATGGCCATTTATCACCCCCTTGACCAGGCTTGCTCCACAGCCGCTCCCCGGTGGCACCAGGTGAATCCCTTGTTGATGTAGGATTCTCGGCCATGGTGACGTCTCCTGCTGGGGTTGGAGGCTTAGCGCCATCCATTCGATCTCCTTCGGTGCCCTCAAGCTGGTTGAGTACACGGTCTAGCACGATCTCAAAAGACTCGGATTCCCCGCTAGGGGCCACCCCCCGCTCCTTGAACAGATAGTCAATCACCCTTCCCATCCGGTGGTTGGTCTCGTACAGAATACCAGCCAAGTGGACCGTCTCTTCCAGGTCGGAGGTGGTTTGCTGCAACGCCTCTTGGAGGTTTCGATGCTCTTTGATGTGCTTCTGTTGCTCCCGGTGTGCGCGCAAAGCCCGCACGCTGAGCTCACAGATTACACGGAGGACGTCCTAGTCACAGTGAGCGATTGTCAGATACTGGAGGCAAATACCTACGGCAGTATCCATTCTTGCGAATAATCACAGCACAGCTACGGCAGACAGGGTTGTAGGAAGCAGGATAGAAGCGAGCGCCAGGAGCGACGCGTCGAGATTAACGATCCTTCGTTGGAGTCGAACAATCTATATGCTAGCCTTTGTGCTGGTGCCTTGCGGTTCAATTTGAGACGGCCGTCCAAAATCCAGGGGGAAGCCCTGTCTTGGCTCTCACATCACGGTAGATGAGCATGCCCATGAGGACCTTGTGTTGAATCTCACAGCTGGTTCGCGATTTGACCACGGCCGCATAAATATCACGTCCGCTTTGCCCTACAGCATGATTCTGTATTTGAGGGCAACGCCGTGGACGGTATGGTCCGTGCTACTGCGCAGCATCCTTCGGGTTAAATGCACGTTTGGAGATCAAGCAGCACATAAACCTACGATCCCCATTCAGAGTTTCTTCCGACCGCTCCCAGTACATACAGGATGAACGAAATTGTCGAGATTGTCGAGATTGTCCGTCGGATTGGCCGCCAGCAAGGCCAAAACGCATACTATCGTACATGCTACACTCTCCTGAAGAAAAGTCAAGATCTCATCCTCGAGATGTTGAACGAGCTGCTGGATCTCTACCACTCCAATGCATTCGAGGAACCAGAATCCGTCTCCACGATTGCAGATGACCTGCGCGACGACATACATGCCTTGATCGCCCGAGAGCGCCGCGCACGATCACACTGGGACGAGTTTTTCGAGTCGGACAAGTGACGTCTGTGGAACGAAATTCTCCCTCTAGGGAGGAATGTCTGTGCGTATTGCAATACATGGATGCCTGTCAGCTCAAGACAATCTTTACCGAGTTCACCCAATGTGATGGATCTCAATACTAAGAAGCTTTATAGATATCGCATCCTTGATCCTCTAGCCATGGTATTAAAAAGGGGAGCTGCTTCAGGAGTGCATAATTATCTCTGGTGGACTATAAAGTGACCGCTCTATAGAGAAAGGAACAGTAGTCAGTTAAGCTGAGTACACGCTCTATTGGGCCGCCATTACAGTCGCTAAACTACATTACCCCGACTAAAAGTACATCAACCACGATACAGTAAGCCTATGTAGTCCGATTGACGTAAATACCCTATTCCCTTTGCCTAGCTTGAGTGGATCTTAAAAGTCCCTCACGGCCAGCTAGACTGTAGACTATGTGCCACACGAGGTTTGTGGAGCGGGTGGGTCTCCGGGTGAGCTGGAATGACCGGGTGGGATTCTCTGGGACAACATTGGGCGGTCAGCATCACCTCCGGCATGTGCATTTTTCGTGGTCTCACTTGTGCTCTGTGGTGAAAGATCAATTCTATTGGGGATGCCTGGCTTTTTCACACTTTTAGACTGGTCTGGGAGCCTTGATGATGCTGCGTTTGCGTTGACCAATAATGTGTTCCGGCACGCTAGGCGGTTCTCTGCAGAAGGTAGTTCGTGCATGCCGGCGTAAATCTGCCGAGTAGTGATATAGCGAGGACAGGGAGTGGACCGAGATGGAACAACGGCCGCTTGCTGTCGTCCCCTAGTGGCCTTTGCCATCATTCCTCGGCGTCTCCCCAGGTGCCTCATCTGAAGTGCGCGCCGCTGTCTGATACGCTGCTTGACTTGTCGGAGCTTGGATCGAAGAGACTCTGACGAGCGTGGGCAAATCGTGCTAGAATATTCGTCCGCTTTTTCGAACCATGTCAGATGGGGCCGCTGAGCAACCCATGCTTCGAGGTTCTCCTCCTCTTTATTGCTCCAGGGACGATAGTCTCGTCTTCCCATGGTGAATGACAACCACAGGTGCGGGCGAAAAAAAGGTGGCGGCACAAAAAGAGAAAAAAAACGAAAAGGAAAGAAAAGAGAAGTGTGAGCAACCACGGTGATAGAAAATGACAAGAGCACAACCAAGGTGAAATGGACGGGGGAAAGATGCTGCGTATTCCAGATGGGGACTGGTAGGGACTGGTCGGGACTAAATACCGGCCCAGAGGGTTGTGCCTGCAGGTGGCAGTCGGAGGCTGATCCCCCGGTCCAAGGGCGTTCGCGTGGGTATTGTGCGTCGCAAACCTGGGCCGTGATGACGCCCAACATCTCTACATGGGTCAATGGTCGTCCCGCCCCACATCGGCGCAGTCAATCATGGGCGATGGACCACGGGCCAACACCTGCTTGGGGATCCGCCAGTGGGCCACCGCAAATGCCCGGGGATATGACGGGCCTGGTCTTGTTCTGATAAACATTCCCTTTACATAGAGAAGTCGATGCGAGGGACGGGCCTATTGGGCTTTACGATCTGCCGTCACTTAACCATGGTCGTAGTTGCTGATCAATTCCCGCTTACTGTCTTCTTTAAAGCGGTTCCTCCACCAGGTCAATGTAGCACTAAATATATCCCCTTCCAATCTTCGAACTGTGGCCGCTAACGCTGAGACAACATGGCGAAAGTACCATCTCGAACGAGTATGAGTTCCCTTGCCGCAAGCTCTGGCCCTCGAACTTCCAACAACCGGGTGCGCATCCAGGAACCCCCCGCAGCTGTTGCTACGCAGCTCACCCGTCCCCGACGACGTCAGTCGATGGTGAGTATTCCATCCGGCCATAAGGCAGCGTCCCTGAGGCTATACAGCAGTGCTGACCAACCTGGTCC